AATACCCTACATGAAAACGTGTGTGGTGAGGAAGCTGGGGTTTCACTAGTGAGTCTGTGTGTCTCCAGGTGGGAGCATGTGTTTTCCAATATGCTTCTAACTCCAGTTGAAAAAAGGCAAGCTGGAGTTTTCAGTGTTGCTTCATAGCTAATTCTTTTTCTCTAACAGTTCGGTAACTACTTTTTCTGTAGTTGTTGCTCTGCACCTATCTGAATGAGGGGGATAGTAAAACAAGTGCAATTAAGAAAAGCCGTATCAATGGGGAAGATGTTGCTGCTGTTGTAAGGTATTTTGCAGCTTGTTTTGCAGAACTCAGAGATTGGGATTCAGAGAATATGCATGCTTCACCAAAAAGTTGTAATTTTTATTGGTGGCTTCCAATTTGCTGTGGGTTTGTACATTGGGTGAGCATACTGCTTGTGTGGTATCTCTTCTGTAAATGGATTATGTGAAATTTGAAAGAACATTGTCAGATTCAAAGCAAAGTGCCACAAGTGGAGCCAATTCATGAATGAAATTGTTGAATGATCTTTGTATATGATAACAGGGGCAGGAAGTTGTATTTTGATTTTTCAGGTGACAGACACAACATCTTGATCAATTCCGTCAGAGACTTTCTGCTCTGATACATTTGTTTTGTAATCATCAGTTATTTTCAAAACAGGCTGAGAGGTGTTTGCATCCGTGTTGTACAGGCAGTAAACAAGCACAGTGAAGTGAATGACAGCTCATACTAATTCTGGGTGCCTAACCTGTGACACACAGTGCTGAAGGGTGTTTGACCAGCCTGTCCATCTGGTATGTGATCAGGGAACATCTGCTGCTGCTGCTCATGGGTATTCAGAAATGTCCTGCCCAAACACCTCCAGTCGGTTGCTCCTAAGTTGTAGAAGTTGGATTCAAAAGATTTTCCAAGTATCATGTGAGATACTAGGATGTGAAGGAGAGATGGGGTATAAATCCACACTGTGCAGTGTCCTGACGTGAGACTGTCCTCTTTTGTGCTTGCCTCCTCTTCCCAGTGCCAACCGTTTCATTTCCTATGTGCTTGTGAACTGCTTGTGATCTGCTTTTCCCTCCCATCTATGCACATCACTGGCATGAATGTTGAAGTCTGGTGAAGATATTACCAGCTGAAAGCAGAGCTGCTGTGCTGCCTTTGCCTTGGTGGCGCTGCAAGGGCAGCGAGATTTCTGTAGCATTGCTGGCCAAGCTGCGGCCCTAAGGCACCCAGTCCCTACATGGGTTCAGGAGGGAGGCTCCATCTGGCATCATGTGCAATGATTTTTTGACTTAAGTATAAAGCAAATAACCAGGCTGGGTATCGTTCAGTTACGGAGTAACCTTGTGTAACCTCTTTTGTGATAAAAGCTGGTTAATAGACAGGCTTGCGCTGTGAGATCATGCCTCATGCTGGCGGCTGGCCCTGGAACAAGAACATTTAACTGCTTAGGAAAGCTTCTCTTAGCAAAGAGGGAGGAAGGGTTTTGTCTGTTTTTTGTTGTTGTTTCGTGGCATGAAAAGCCCAGTCTTCACTGCAGTCTGTGTGATGGTATGTTGCTGTCCATAGTCTGACATATGAAACTCTACCATGGAGACTCTATGTAATTGTATAAAATGAGAAACTTTAGTTTAAGCTTTGGCTGTATTTCTATACTTCCGCTTTCTTCAGTGCAGAGGAATAACAAAGCATCTCATCTTTTTATTGTTCAACAGTAAGTTCTCCACTCACGCAGAGGTTTCACTGTGTCCTTTATATCAAAATGTGTGACTGTAAGATTCGGTTTATCTGAGACCACTGCTCCGCATTGATCCAGGGGCTGTATTAAAGCCTGACCTCCTGACATGCAGGAGAGGATTTGTTTCGTATTAGGTTAGTATTTCAAAAATTAGCTCTTGTATTGAGTACATTGTAGCCCTAGTGATTTTCCACAGTTGTCCTCAGAACCACAATTTGCAGTGCACCCCAAAGGGATACTTAAGGTGCATTAAGCAAGAATTATTTTGTTTATTTTAAAACACTTATGAAGGGCAGAGCACAACAGAACAGAAATTTGTCCATGATCTATGGGTTTTATTCACAGCATGTTAACCTCAACAGGCAGCCTGTAGTTTGTATTTTTCTTTTATGTGACAAATTGCCCTTGCCTGTACACTTGCAAAATAGTCAAGTACAGCTAGGCATCTGTAATATTATGCTTTAACTTATGAATATTTCTATTTGTGTGCATATGCTGAGAGCTGCAAACTAAAACTTGGAGATTCATGTGCCTGGTTTTGAAGAGGTATATGTAATTTTGAGAGTATGATCAACCTGCACCTTTTAAAAGCAAGACAGGAGAGAGTAATTGAAATGTGTTCTTGAAAGGGTGGAAATGTTGAAAGCTCCTGGTAGCTTTACTTTCCTTCCCCCCCGTGAAGACGAAGAATGTGTTGGGACGAATGAATAACGAAAAACTGAATAAACTGCCCTATCCCCTTGCCACTCACCAGCCCGTGGGAGCCAGTTAGGGGCTGTTCCAGCCATGGCAGCTGCAGGGCAGTAGATAAGAAGTTCACAGCTAATCTAGCCCACTCACGGTTAAAACTGCTTCCCCGCTCTTTCAAAGGCATCACTGCAAACTCGCGTCAGGATTCCAGGAGGCCTCATAAACAGTTACTGTTTGTGAACACGCAAACATAAGAGAAAAGAGCTCCGTAAATCAAACTGCACTTGAGTGCTGCAGATAGTTCTAGGGATGTTCACAGATATTTGATCTATCAGTTTGGTGTTTTCAGGTGTATTCTTCTCAAGTGTAACTTCCCCCATAGGTCCTCCTTCAGCACAAGAGTTAAAGTAGCTTGGTGCAGGAAAGAAGCAGAGCTTTGAGGTTTAAAATCAGAGTCTGGATGGGATACATTTCTGTTAAAGGTAACCTTTCTGGAGTGTGATGTGATTTAAAGTCTGCTTGGTAGTGAATGCTACAGTTACAGTTAAATTGATACTTGCATGTAATCCTGTTTTATAAAAATATTTCTCCTTAGCTGATTTTTTTTTTTCATCTTAGAATATCATTTTGTATGATTTTAGATTCTGAGCAAGACTGAAGAAACTTTCTTTTTCTCTCTTATGTCCAGACTTCTTATCTACATTTAGTCCAAATAATAGTTTCTGAATGTTTTAATATTCATCAGAGTCACAAGCCAAACCACATGGCGGATCTCTTTGGACATTTTGTTCCCCAAAACTTCTACCTCCTTTCATTCTTCAAATCTTTTGGCCTCTCTCCTCATCCTGCTTGCATGGCTCTTTCCCAGGGGAGGCCTCTTTCTGCCTTGGATACATTTCTTCCAAGCCATTTTTGCCCTTCCGCAGGAGAAAAACTGGAGAGCTTAGAAATTCCTTAGGAATGTAGAAATGCAAGCCAAGTTCTAGAATGCCTTGAGTGATGTAAGTGATGTCATTTGATTCCCTGAACTTCGCTGAGAAGGCCAGGGAAGTAGGACTTGGTATACCTATAATAAAATAACTCATTTTAAGCAATCTTTGCTTTCCATTGTGGATTTTCTTTCTTTCAGCTAAAATTCACTCATTGAATTTTGTTGAGAAATTCTAAAGCAGCAAAAATAAATTTAGATTTTTTGGATATGTGATTCATCCTAAAAAAATCTACAGTATTTTAATTGATCATCTCTAAAAATAATCACCACAGTCATTTAGTATTCATAAAATCACCTTGTAATGAGGGAAAAAAAGACATAGCTCTTGTATATCTCAAATAAGCATGCAGTTCATATGTTCACTACTGCATACTATGTGCATGTACATACCTAAAAAAACCAAAAAGAACATTAAAATATGGATACTGTATGTAAAATATTTCATAAACAGAAGTTAGATTAATATTTTCTAATTTCCTGCTTTTTCTCTGACAATCTCTTTTAACAGGATATTGATTCTGTTTACAAAAAAGAACCAATTTATTAATATAAAATTGGAATTGTGCCAAGATGAAAATACTGCCATGCATTAGGAGATAGGCAGCTATCTGCTTTCTATTGGAGCCATTCTATTCAGCCACCTTTCACAAATGGTATCTAACTTAATAGTAAAGATATTCTGCAACCTTTTTTCCTTCCTCTAAGTTTTTCTTAGCTATATTTTCTTGGATATTTTTCTTAATAAACATAAAAGGCTGATCACTGCTTAGCTCATACTAAAAAAATCTGATCTTTCATAGTACCTACATCACAGTCTTGGAAGCTACCAGTTATTCAGAAATGAGGTCAATGTTTGGATAAATTGTATTGGAAGGTTTCCTGTGGAGATAACATGATTGGCATCTGCTGAGCATGTGGTCAAGGGCAAGTGAAAATGCTGTGCTTCTTCATGTGGGGTCTGAGGCTGCAACACTGACCTGTGGGAATCAGCCTGTGCTTTAGCCCTGAGCTCAGCCCATGCCCCAAAGAGATGAGGAGGTTCCAGTCATGCAATAAGTACTATTGTTTGCAAACGTAGTTATTCAGTGATGAATTTTTAGCCACTTTGCTTTGCATTAACTTAGCTGGAGATTAGAGTTTATTTCAAGTGTGGATGAATGGCTAGTGTGCTTGATGTGCTTCAGTGTTTACTTTTCAGAGGAACTTGGTATCCCACATGGAGACTGTGCTGCAGAGTGATGAGTTTGGAATGTCTCCATTCCTCTCTGCTCCTTGAGCTCTTCAGAAGCTTTACAGAATTACTGTCTGTCTTTAGACTTGATCAATTCTTGGCTTCATGCATTAATTTGGGTAGAAAAAGAAACATATGGTGAAGTACTTTATTGAAACAATTCAGTTTAGGCGATTTTGGTGACAGGTACCTAAATATCTTTGCTGACTTAGACCAAAACCAGTTCCTAGGTGACACTGGCCAGTTGTGCTGGAGCAGAAAATTGGATTTTTTGTAGCTAAGGGCAACCCTAACTAGTTACTGCCTTTTTTTTTTTTTTTTTCCTGTGTAAGATTTCACATACAATTTTACTGATTTAGAAATGCACATATAAGCAGAAGAAAAGTAGATAGATTGTAACTAACACATAATGCAAACAAGGGAGAGCAAATGACTTCTGCCCTGACATGTGAGTTCAGCTATCTCAGCTGGAGCTTGGTTTGGAGGAAAAGTAAATTTATCATAAATATGATGAAATGATGTAATAAAGTATCTGATGCTGTTGTGGTAAATGCCTGGTAATGTCGCAAAAGTTCCCAGTCTTCCACCCTCGCATCATTCGAATGCCATCAGTCCCTGAGACTTTACGATTGCCTCTAGCGCTTTTACAGGAGCTGTTTGGGAGGCAAGGCTGCTCTGGAGATAAAACCAGCTCTTCAGCTTGCAGCCCCTATTTGTTTGTCTTTATATCAGTCACTGTGCAAGTATATGTATATTTTGCATACTCTGAATCAAATATAGTTCATAACACTGAACAGGAAGATCGATCGCGTGAAACCCACTTACTGCTCATTTGCTTGCTCGTGTCCTTGTGCACTCAGGCAACACTCAGTTTTCTATGTCCATAGAAAGTAAGGACTTTTCTGTGGACATTTACTTTTCTATGGAAATTTCCACAACAGTTATTAACCAATTTCAAAATACTGTGTAAATTAATGAGTTCACTACTCTGCCCCTCATGTTTAGACTAGTTTCTACTTCCATTCAAATCACTAAAAACTCTCTTCTGATATGTCCCACCATGAAGGCTGACAACAAATCCATAAATGCAGTAATAGAAAGTCTAAATTTTGAGAGAAACATTTTATTTCCCCTTAGAACCTTTAGAAAAAATACACACAGCTGCCTTTTCTTGTAACAAAGCTCAACTTTTGATTTCTTCACTTATTTTTATTTGCTTTGCCCTGTTGGATTTAACTCCATGTTCATGAAGTTGTTTCTCTATTCTTCCTTGGAGAGAATAGTTTGTGTCAGCTGCTAACTTACCGCTGTGCAGCTTCCTACTTACTTTTTTCCCCTGTTGCTTCTTGATCCTCAGCCTCGAAATCCATTTTTACATCTCATGTACAAAGATATCGTGTCACTTACTGCTTCGTATTGATCCTGAAGACCTCCTCCTACTGCAATGGTTATAATAAACGAGACGATGTCTGAAGACCAGGTGGAGTCTGATGAGCAAACCTGGCATATCCGCTGTCTCTGGCCTTGATCCTGTTCAGTGCAAGTTAGTGAAAAATATGCCATTGATTTTAGGACAGCAAGGTACTATATTAAATATAAATGATCGCTGTCTGGTCTCTGACTGTATGCATGTATATTGCCATGGACCTTTTGTCAATTTGTGATGACAGTCTGATTATGCTTCTGCTGTTTGGTTTTGTTTTAATTACAAGACTTGGTATTTACTAAGCAGTTTGGGAAGGTTCCTTGAATTTAATTTATGCTGCCAGTTGACATGTAACATCCTGCTTTCTAACTATGCATGCTACAGCCCTGGGTATATTCTCTTTTATTTCATGTGGTATTACATGACTCCCTTAAAAACAGAACGTTGAATTCCGCAGAACAACGCAACACCTGGGCTCTAGGGGCATGTCCTGCAGCCTTTGCTCAAGTCAGAGCTTCCTTCTGCAAAACCTGCAGAATGAGTCCATGAGCTCAACTTACCCAGGGAAATTACATCTTTTGTTTGCCAGCGTTACAATGCCTGAATCCTAAAGTTTAAGTAATCTGCAGCAAGGTAAGTGCTGAGGTATCTAAACAAGAGCTAGATGTCCAAGCAGAGGATCCATAACCAAGCAGGCAAATATCTAGAAAAATGTAAAAAAAAAAACAGCAAAGACATATTCTCCACTTCTATCCAATATCATAGCTTTTCCCAGAATATGGAAGATGAATGTGCAATTCCTTCATCTGTTTGAGAAATCTAAATCTACAACTTGCTATGTAGAACCCAATCCTAAACAATGAGCAGGGTATCTAGAAGTGGAGAAGGGCTTTATCAATTCCTCCCTTTGAAACTGTTCTGCTTTGCAAGGAGCAGTTCCATAATCTGCAGGCTGGTCTGGGGACAAGTGTATTGCTGTAACTGAGTGACCGGGGTGCTTTTCTGGGAGGGTGGGATTTAGGTTTCCAGCCCACTCCAGCAGTCCCTTCGTGGTTGCACATAACATCTGGGAAACAAACTGCTGTGCGTGTCGTATAAGGAAAGTCTTGATCGGAGTGTGGTGGTGAAGCTCAAATGGGTTCGAGTAAAAGGGCAGCAGCAGATGCAATCTAATCTTCATTTCTTGGCTAGGGCTGCTGCTCAGCAGTCTCCTTGATGACTCAGTTATATGGTGAAATCAGCTTTCTGAATCCAAAGGAAAAAAATGGCTTTTATTACACGGGAAGGCTCTTTCTTGGTAATCTGCTCACAAAGTAGAACATTAACCTGCTGCAAATCATAGTCCTATAATATAAATGTCATCTTCCTTAATGTTCAAGGCACAGTGAAAACTGGGAGATCTTACAGAATAGAAATGTTCTCATTTTCAAGTATTAATTGGCTTTTTGGGTGAGAATCTCACCTGAAGCATGTGGGCATGGCTTTTTGACTTCATAGGTTATAATTCCTATTTTTTCATTTGAAGGTAATGCATTTTTCTAGTGTTTCAGCAAATGTTTGAATCATTAAAAAATATACTGCTCTTTTTGTCAAATGTGTAAGGTCTTCCCAGTATTTTAAGAAATCATTTTTTTTCCTAATGTGCATATTCTATGATCATAGTTTTTTATTGAAAAACAAAAACAAATCTATGATTCAGTGTTCTTATAGATCATATGCAGGTAATATGCAGGCAAAACTAATTCAAGCCTCCTCAAATCCAATATTGCTCGGTCTATTTTAAGCGTGGGGAGGTTATGCATGTGGGTTCTGACTGCCTGAAAGCTGTGCTACAAACACATGCTCAAAAGGCGACTTGAGGGTGCGCGCTGGGTCAGGCATGTCGTGCCACAAAAGCATTCCCTTTGGTGGGTTTGCTTAAAGGCTTTACTGGCACAGTTCTGAGTGCACGAAGAAATAGTTTCAACACTGCCAGGGAACTTTCCTGTGAAGACATAGAGTAACTATTTTCAAAAAGTAGTTATTTAAATTTGACATTTAATTCCCATTGATATAAATTTAGAAAAAAAATGCACGAAGATATGCTTCATTTTCTTTGACTTGGAAGAGGCCTCTTATTGCCATGATGTGTAGTATGGTCATTCCTCAGTTTTTAAAACATGAGGAAATATGGCCAAGCAATTCTGTGGGATTTAATGGTGCGGAGATGTAGCATTCTAGCTTGAGAATCATAAAGTAATCTAGTATGCCAAGCTTTAGTTCAACATAGAGTAAAAATAAAATTAGATTTTCAAAATTACTCTGTGTGTTTATAAACTATCTGTCATCATAGTATTTGTATGAATGTTACTTAAATCTGATTTAAGTGAAAGCAGTACTTCTGTGAAGCTGTAGAGTGTACGTTCACTGCAGTCTATCATTAATCTTAAAAGACACTAGTGGCTATTACTGTGGAATATAAAGATTCTTTGAGCAACTCTGGGACATGTTAAGGTGTCATCTATTTATTGCATTTACACCACAAGCAGAGAGCTACTGTCATCAGTAAGAAGGGCTATTAGAAAATCAAAATTTCTCTGTATTATTGGTTGTTATCTACCAAAGATAGTTTTTATCTATTTTTTTCTTCCAATTCATTTCATGTAGTTTCTGTTCTGATCGCAGTTTTGTGAGATTATACTTGAACTGGATCCCAACTTACTTTTCCTGACCCCTTCCTTTATTGACAAAGTTTTTGGTTTTAAATACTATGCATTTTCTTACATTTGAGATTCTTCCTGGCTATGGCAAATTTCTTTTTTTCCAGTAACACCTTTTACTTGCCCATATAGAATAGCACCTTTACAACCACAGCAAAATGTTTTGGTGCAGCTACCTCCAAATTCACTTTTGAGTTGAATACTCTACTTTTTACAGAGTACTGCTGAGGACAGGCTTCTGCCCTGTGACCCAGTGGGCTGTCTGGCATGTATTCTGGGCTTCCTGATAGCTTTACCTTTT